GCCGGGCGGCGGCAGCGGGGGAGCAGCAAGCGACGCGGCTGCGAGGCAAGACAGATGGTGGGTGAGGCCATGCAGCGGCAGGACGCGGCAAGCGCGGCGCGGGGGGCGGCTGGCGCATCGGGGTGACAGGGGGCGCGGGCAGGTGAGAGAGCGCAGGAGCCAGCGCGGCGCTGGCGAGTGCAGGAAGGCAACACGTGGTGGCGGTAGCAGCAAGAGCAGCGGGAGGCGAGCAGCAGGGAGGCTGCGCGCGCGGCGGTAGCACCAAACGCGGCGGAGGGGCTCGGCCTCGCCGGAATTTTTGCCCCGGGTCCCGGATGGGAGTGGGGCTGGTCGCGTTCGAATGCCCTCGGCGTGGCGAGGCGAATGGTGGTCGTGGATATTGTGGCGGTGGTATACAGTGGCGCCGACGACGAGGTCTTGCGTCGGTCGAAGGTTGAGCTCGGCGAGCTCGAGCATTTGGCTTCGGATTCGTTGTTTCGAGGGGTTCATGCGCTGCTTGGGATACGAAGAAGCGCGACAGTGGCTTTGGTTCGACCCGGGGTGGACGAGATCGACCACCACGAGATCGCTGGCGGAAGCAGAGCCACGGCAGAGCAATTTAATGGTGGTCACATGATCTAGCTACGGATCGAGAGCAGCAACAAGGGGTTTGCGTTGAGATGCTCACCGTGGAGCTCAAGATGGCTCGGTGGAGGTCTAGGAGCAACAGAGGTTGATGGAGCCGTGATAGCGCCTGCTGGCCGGAGGTGGAGAAGACAACGGCGACGACGCGCTGCAGGGGCCCCGGGCTCATTCCGTTTGGCGTAGGCGATGTAACGGCCAGCGGTGAAGCTCTATGACATGCCTGCGAGGTGAGGGCTGGCCGGTGGCCGTGGCAGTGTGAGGTAGCCGGCGGCGATGGAGCTCAGTCGACGGGGATCTGGGGCGAGAGGGAGAGAGGCTGATAGGGAGGATGGAGTGGGAGCGGTAGGTGGGGGAGGGGAGACCGAGGCGTCGGAGGGGCGCCCTTATCCCCTCGACGCCGATGGTGAGCCGGCTCGGTGGCGACCTCGGGCGCGGTCGGGCGCGCCCGATGAATAGAAGGAGAAGGCGGCCCGGGGGGTTAGGTGGGCTGGCAAGGCCACGCAGGTGGGCCAGTCCCTGTTGGGCCAAGGCCCGGGGGGCAGGGGAAGCTTTTCTCTTTTTCTTTGCCTTTTCTAACTTTGTTTATGTTTTGCATTTTCTTTAAGTACCAAATGAGTTTTGTTTTGAACAAAACTTGGCACATAAATCTAACACAATACCTTGAGATGGAATAAAAGGTTCAGGGTCAAAAGGAGTTGTCTAACCATTTTTTTCGAATTTGAAAAGGCCAATTTAAATGTTGTTGGACCACTAAATAAATTTCCAGGGGCACTTTGGGAATCCAAAAGAGGTTGGTTCCAACATGAAAATTACTCAGTGATTATTGCAACATCATGAACATTTTAGTTCTGACATTTGAAAACTTTTAAAGTTTGAGTTGATTTTGAATTTGAACAGGGTTTGAAACAACACGAGTTTATCAATAGTAAATGTGGTGATGTGGCGTCATTAGCAGGGAATTACTGTAACTTAATTATCCGGGCGTCACAATTCCTCTCCTCTACAAGAAATCTCATCCCAAGATTTAAGGGGTGGAGTAAGGGGGAAAGACTCAGGAAGGGCGGAGCTCAACACAAGATAGGTACCTGGGGACTATCCCAATGAACATGGCAAAGGCATCCCTAGAGTTGAAATTCAAGAAAGTCATCGAGAGCAAGGTAAGGAGGTTCAATAAGAAGCTTCAACTGGGTAGGCAATCGCTCGTTGCCTGAAACAGAGGGTGAAAGGGTTCAAAGTGATGGGAATAAGTATTGTGTCTGATACCAGAATAGATCACTAGGAAGGTGGCTCGTGATTTACTTGAGAAACCAAGCACGAGGGACAATTTTGGAAGATAGGGATGTACAGGAGAGTCAGGTTTCGATCCTGTGGAACTGTGGGTTATGGGCCCACGATGTGGGTTAAAAGCAGGAAGGCCCTAACATTTTGCACGGTCATGATAGCAAAGAGAGTCAGAGGATAGCATGTCAATTACGTTGGCAACAACGTTGGTACCAAGGGCGAGGGACGAAGAGAACCATTTTCCTGCTCGTTAAGATGAGGCGGACCAATAGGCAAAGTTCTCGTCCATCAGTGGCTACCGGAATGTCATCAACAATAGTAACAAGGTCTTACTGATAGATTTTGTACACCGAGGTGTTTACACAAGCAGGTAATTATCACTGCTCGTATATGTTAGGTTACAAGAAAGGTTAATCAAAACAATGGAAAGGAAAGTGTAGACTCGAATCAGTTATCGGTGTCCTTGAGTGTCTAACAACTTAGAACCCATGGAAAATTTGGATCAACGAGAATAATAGTTGATGAAAACTCATAAGAAGTTTTGTAGTTCCATGATATTCTCGAGATTCCAGAGGGTAATACTCGAGGGTAGAGAAGAACAGAGGTTGGACATGTGAAGTGATCTGCAGAAGACAAGTACTTTGACTTGTCCGAGA